AATCCTAGAATACTAGGACTGGAAGGGACCTCGAGAGTCATCGAGTCCAGTCCCCTGCCCCCATGGCAGGACCAAATACTGTCTAGACCATCCCTGATAGACATTTATCTAACCTACTCTGAAATATCTCCAGAGATGGGGATTCCACAACCTCCCTGGGCAATTTATTCCAGTGTTTCACCACCCTGACAGGAACTTTTTCCTAATGTCCAACCTAAACCTCCCTTGCTGCAGTTTAAGCCCATTGCTTCTTGTCCTATCCCCAGAGGCCAAGATGAACAAATTTTCTCCCTCCGCCTTATGACACCCTTTTAGATACCTGAAAACAGCTCTCATGTCCCCCCTCAAGTCTTCTCTTTTCTAAACTAAACAAACCCAGTTCTTTCAGCCTTCCTTCATAGCTCATGTTCTCTAGACCTTTCGTCATTCTTGTTGCTCTTCTCTGGCCCCTCTCCAATTTCTCCACATCTTTCTTGAAATGCGGTGCCCAGAACTGGACACAATCCTCCAACTGAGGCCTAACCAGTGCAGAGTAGAGCGGAAGAATGACTTCTCGTGTCTTGCTCACAACACCTGTTCATGCAGCCCAGAATCACGTTTTGCTTTTTTTCCCCCCACACTGCTGACTCATATTCAGCTTGTGGTCCACTCTAACCCCTAGATCCCTTTCTGCCGTACTCCTTCCTAGACAGTCGCTTCCCATTCTGCATGTGTGAAACTGATTGTTCCTTCCTAAGTGGAGCACTTTACATTTGTCTTTATTAAACTTCATCCTGTTTACTTCAGACCATTTCTCCAATTTGTCCAGATCATTTTGAATTATGACCCTATGCTACAGATTAGTCGCAACCCCTCCCAGCTTCGTATCATCTGCAAACTTAATAAGCGTACTTTCTATGTCAATATCTAAATCGTTGATGAAGAAATTGAAGAGAGCCGGACCCAACACAGACCCCTGTGAAACCCCACTTGTTATACCTTTCCAGCAGGATTGTGAACCATGAATATCTACTCTCTGAGTACGATTATCCAGCCAGTTATGCACCCACCTTATAGTAGCCCCATCTAAGTTGTATTTGCCTAGTTTATTGATAAGAATATCAGGCGAGACCATATCAAACGACTTACTAAAATCTAGGTATATCACATCCACCACTTCTCCCTTATCCACAAGACTCGTTATCCTATCAAAGAAAGCTATCAGATTGGTTTGGCACGATTTGTTCTTTACAAATCCATGCTGGCTGTTCCCTGTCACCTTGCCACCTTCCAGATGTTTACAGATGATTTCCTTAATTACTTGCTCCATTATCTTCCTGGCACAGAAGTTAAACTAACTGGTCTGTAGTTTCCTGGGTGGTTCTTATTTCCCTTTTTATAAATGGGCACTATATTTGCCCTTTTCCATCTTCTGGAATCTCTCCTGTCTCCCATGATTTTCCAAAGATGATAGCTAGAGGCTCAGATACCTCCTCTATCAGCTCCTTGAGTATTCTAGGATGCATTTTGTCAGGCCCTGGTGACTTGCAGGCATCTAACTTTTCTAGGTGATTTTTAACGTGTTCTTTTTTATATTTTATTTTCTAAACCTACCCCCTTCCCACTAGCATTCCCTATGTTAGGCATTCCTTCAGACTTCTCGGTGAAGACTGAAACAAAGAAGCCATTAAGCATCTCTGCCATTTCCAAGTTTCCTGTTACTGTTTTTCCCTCCTCACTGACCAGTGAGCCTACCCTGTCCTTGGTCTTCCTCTTGCTTCTAATGTATTTATAAAAAGTCTTCTTGTTTCCCTTTATTCCCGTAGCTAGTTTGAGCTAGCCTGTGTCTAGACTGTCCAGTTTTTCCGGAAAATCAGCTGCTTTTCCGGAAAAACTTCCCGCCTGTCTACTCTGGCCACTTGAATTTCGGCAAAAGCACTGACTTCCTACTGTAAGAAATCTGCTTTTTGCGGAAATACTATGCTGCTCCCGTTCGGGCAAAAGTCTTTTGCGCAAAAGTTTTTCAGAAAAAGGGCCAGTGTAGACAGCAGAGATTGGTTTTCTGCAAAAAAGCCCCGATCATGAAAATGGCCATCGGGGCTTTTTTCGCAGAAAAGCGCATCTAGATTGGCCACAGACGCTTTTCTACAAAAAGTGCTTTTGCGGAAAAGTGTCCTGCCAATCTAGACGCTCTTTTCCGCAAATGCTTTTAATGGAAAACTTTTCCGTTAAAAGCATTTTTGGAAAATCATGCCAGTGTAGACATAGCCTAGCTGTTTGTAATATCTCTGCTAAGAGCCTGCACCAAGAACGTGGTGATCGTGTATCTTTTTAACAACCTCATTCTCCACCTTTTCTTTCTTTTATTCATAAACTTTTAGATTTTAGAGTCTAAAGGGTTGGCCCTTTGGGATCTCATGGGTAAGATCCAAAGCGTAAATTGACTGGGACCCGTGGCTGGTCTTCTGGGACCGGGGTAGGTGAGATTGGGTTCTATAACCCCTCACCTGTGTGCAGGCCCGGGACTGATTGGGGCACAGGAAGAGCTGGGGTGTCGGAGGGGTTTTGCTCACGAGGCTTCCTGCTGGCCAGACTGGCAGCAGAAGTGCTCGGTGTGACTGGTGTGTGGCCTATTGGGGAAGGATCTCGAGTCAGGGGCTGTAAGGAGCCCTGAGTTGGAGCAATTCGCCCTGAGCAGACCCCCTCAGCAGTGCCCAGACCCAGCCTGGCCTGTCACAAGCCTGAACAATTCTGGCCGTGGGGCCCTTGGGCGGAGGGACGAGAACTGGAGCCCCGTTCGGATCAGAGCAGGTCGGCAGCCCTTCCGTCGCAGGGCCCTGGCCTCCTCCCATTGGCTCTGTGCAGATGCCAGGGCTGTGGAGGGCCAAGGGCAGTGCCTGCATGCCTATCACTGGCAGGGCAGGGCCGGGGACGCCCTGGAGATAGGAGGCCCATCACACCAGCACTGGAATCCACACCCGGCCCGTTAAGGGACAGTTCAAACCAGCTCTCAAGCCCGTCGGTGTCGAGCTGGCCCATCCTGGGCTTAGAACCGTTCTGCTTCCTCCACCAGACACGCCCAAAGCAGAAGAGGAGGCAGGGGCCAGCTTAACTCAAAGGCTTTATTTCCGCAGCAGCCGACGGCCTGGGGTTTCCATTTTGAATATTCGATTAAAACCAAGAGAGGCACCGCTCCCACCCCGAGGGACACGGCCCCTCAGATCTTGCCCTGTCCTGGCGCTGGCTGGATGCCTAGCGCCTGCTGGGGAGAGTGGAAGGGGCAGAACTGGGAGCAGGGAGAGGCCAAAGTGGCCACGGACAAGGCAGCGAGGAAGGGGCCTGTCCGGAGAGGAGGCCAAAGCAGCAGCTGAGCTGCAGGGGAAAGGGGGCCTGTTTCACTGTAAACTCGACAGCCCCCCCGCGTCTCTTCCCTGCTGCCCAAGCGCCCGCCTGGCCACTGCAGACGGCTTCGGCCATCGCTACTCCGCTTAGCCTCTGCGCCGTGCGCCCTCAAAGAACCCCCCCACCCCTGCTCCAGTTGGGCACCTCCCCGAAGCCTTCCCCCAGCAACGGAGACCAGCCCTAAACTTGCGCCGGGGCACCTGATTTCCCCAGTGAAGGCAGTACAGGAGGCTGCCTCTCTGGTGCTTGTGGT